GAACAAAACTCAAAGGTGGAATTTTCAAGAAAAAGCTTCAAGAAACTTACACTAAAACTTAAGGAAACAAGCACCAAAAGAGTGTTCTTCTAATAGAACTCAAAATATCATCTCTAAGGCATGAACAAGCTCCAAAACCGCTGCTGTTTGGAAAGGAATTCACCACGAAAATTTGGCTTCCAAGAACAAAAATATGTTCTTGAAGAGGAGGATGAGAGGAACAAGTTTTATGAAGGAAGTTTGGTGATTTGATGGAGTTTTGGTGGTGGAATCTTAGAGAGAAGGTAGAGAAAATTTGAAAACTCAAACTTAGAGAGGGGGGCTGCTAAGGTGCTGATCAGAAATGAGGGGAAGGATCCCTTATGTTTTTACGGTTTATGCCATGCCATTAAGTGACTTTCTGTCATTTAGTGACACCCGGTGTAATTTTTCTTTGAACTGTTATCAAATTTTTACCCGAAAATTCCCAAGATCCCAACTGTAAGTAATTAATATTAAGTTTGTTTAATTAACATGCTTCTAACTAAAAAATCTAATTAGTAACTCACAGATACGCTTACTGCTGTTTAACTACACTTTAGTCTTTACGAGTATTCTTAACTGTACCCGGATTTCATAATCTTCTTAACTTTAATATTATTGGTCTAATTATTACTTGTAATGCATATATTGGTCTTTCTTTCCCTTTTCTCATATTTTTCCCGTTCCAAGATTCTACCGACTGGTCTTACAGCAGTACAAATTATCTGGTAAAAGTGACTTTTCGGAAGTACACCAATATGGGTATCAATCTTCACCATTTCATATACTAACCTCATTCATGATGTTTATATCATTAGATTAGCTCTCTAACTCAGATTTGCTAGATTGGATCTATTCTACATACTGTTATTGCGTCAGTAGTCAAAAACAACAGCTGAAAACTCAACTGTTCAGAATACCCCCAATATGGGTATCAAACTTCATCAAATCTTATGCTTACATCATTTATGATATTCATGTCCTTATGATAGCTCTCTAACTTAAATTCACTGTACTGGAGCTATTCTACAGTCTATTAGTGCGTCAGCAGTCAAAAACAGCAGATGAAAATTCACCTGACTGGAATACCCTCAAAGTGGGTATCCAAATTCTTAGAATTTCATTCTCATTCTATTTATGATCATAAGTTCCTCATCATAACCCTCTAATTTAAAAGTCATGTAATTAGGGTTATTATAAACAGATTGATGTATCCTATTTAATGAGTTAGTCGAGTCAGCAAATTAAACTTATGATATGAGCTTGACTCATCATATGAATGTTTCTAATTTTCAATTAATTTTTGATTTGCATATAATTTCTGTTTCTCAATTATTTTTTAATAGAAATATAATTTTCGTTTCTCATTTAGTTTTCGTTTGAAAATTATATTTTCATTTGAAATATAGTTTCTTTGTTATCGAAACACAAAGTTTAAACAATGAACAGATTGATGTATCCTATTTAATGAGTCAGCCGAGTTAGCAAATTGGACTTATGATATGGGCTTGACTCATCGGATGGATGTTTCTATTTTTTCATTTAATTTTTGTTTTGCATATAATTTTCATTTCTACTTAGTTCCCATTAAGGGTATATATTATTATTTTTTATTAATTTATTATTATTATTGTTTTTAACTGGTTAAGTGTGAAAAAAATTATTTAATTTTCAATTTGCATATAATTTTTGTTTCTCATTTAGTTTCCGTATTTCAATTTTTTTTATTGAAATATAATTTCGTTTAACATATAGTTTTCGTATTATCGAAACACAAAGTTTGACCAATGAACAAATTAATGATCCAATTTAATGAGTCAGTCGAGTCAGCAAATTGAGCTTATGATATGGGTTTGACTCATCGGATGGATGTTTAGTTTACTTTTAATTTTTGATTTGCATATAATTTTCATTTTTGTTTAGTTCCCATTAAGGGTATATATTATTATTATTTTTTATTGATTTATTATTATTATTATTAACTGATTATGTGTGAAAAGGAAAACGGTTCATGGGGTCTAAAGCAAACACGTGGTCTTTTTTTTTCTCATTATCATTATTATTAACCGGTCGATTATGAAAATGAAATTGACTTATGGGGTCTAAAGATGACACATGGCATTTTGTCGTCTAGTCGTTTCTCTCTTCTAGTTATAAGAATATAGGTATAGATATAGAATATAGATATATAGATATAGATGAGTCAGCTAAGTCAAAAAACTGGGCTTATGATATGGGCTTGAATCATCTGATGAATGTTTCTATTTTTCATTTAATTTTTGATTTGCATATAATTTTTATTTGTAAAGAATACATGTGGCATTAATTTATATTATTTTTTTATTAATTTATTATTATTAGTTATTAACCATTTAACTGTGAAAAGAAATCTAGTTCAAGGAATCTAAAGCAGACACATGACAATTTTTTCCTCAATATCATTATTATTGACCGTTTAAGTGTGAAAACGAAACTGGTTCATGGGGTCTAAAGCCGACACATGGCATTTTTATCCTCTAGTGGCTTCTTTCTTCTCTCTCTCTTTATATATATATATATATATATATATATATATATATATATATATAGAAGTTTACATTTCTGCAGCTGCTATACGTGCAACAATCAAATACTTGCCATATATATATTTGAAAGCATTAAATGCCGAGAATCATAATCATACAAAGGATGAAAGCATTAAATATGAGAAATCATAACCATACACCTGTCGTTGCTGTATGTAAAACGGCTGCAGAAATGATTTTACCATATATATATATATTAGGGTTGAAAAAATGGGTCAACCTGACCCAACCTGCGTTCAACCCGAAAAAAATGAGCCGGGTTAGGGTTAGCTCAAAAAATAAACGAGCCAGAAAACTCAACCCAACCCGACCCGAGTCGGGTTTGGGTTGGCTCGAAAAAAAAAATTCATTGATGCTATAAATTCTAAATTTTTTCCCTAAATTATTAATTCATTCAATACAAGGACATTATACAGATAAATCATAGAAAATTTTGCATTTGGACTTGGAGTTATTGGCAGTTGGCACCGCATTCACACTGGCACACATACTATAAAAAAGGTCTTTAATGCACGATTTTGGACTTATTGGCAGCTGCAGGGTATTTTCGTTTGGGTCTTTGGAATTGGAATTTTAGATTTTACCTTTCCACTTTACCTTCATTAATTTTTATACTTTTATATTTTAAAAAAAAACATAACCCGCGAGCCAACCGTTTGACCCGTGGGTTGGCTCGATTTTTTTCGAGGTGAAATGAGTCGGGCTGACTCGAGTTACTAACTCATTTTTCCTAACCCAACCCGGCTCATTTTAGTCGGGTTACGAGCCAACCCGATGAGTTGGCTCATTTTTGCCAAGCCTTATATATATATAGATTTTCGATTAGCATATAATTTTCGTTTTTCAATTATTTTTTGTTTGAAATGTAATTTATGTTTCTCATTTAGTTTTCGTTTGAAAATTAATTTTCGTTTGAAATATAGTTTCCATTTTATCGAAACACAAAGTTTGGCCAACGAACATATTGATGTATTCTATTTTGATGAGTCAGCCGAGTCAGCAAATTGGACTTATGATATTGGCTTTACTCATCATATGGATATTTCTATTTTTAATTTGTATATAATTTTCGTTTGTAAAGCAGACACGTGGCATTAATTTATGTTATTTTTTATTAATTTTTTTTTTTGTATTAACCAATTAAGTGTGAAAAGGAGTCGGTTCTTGGGGTCTAAAGCAGACACGTGGCATTTTTTTCTCATTGTCATTATTATTAACCGGTTAAGTGTGAAAACAAAACTGGTTCAGGAGGGTCTAAAGCCGACACGTGGTATTTTTGTCTTCTAATGACTTCTCTCTTCTAGACCTCTAGTTATATATAGATAGATAGATTTTCTTTACTTCTTCATTTATTCTTTATTTTCCCCTTTAATTTTTTTCTTATTTATTTTTCTCTTATTTCTATATTTTCTATCAATTTCTTTATTTCTTTAAAATTTTCTCTTTATCTTTATCTTTATCTTTTCTTTTTTTGCTCTTATATATATTTTTTCTTGTATGTATTTTTTATTTTTATTTTCTTCCTCTCAATTTTTTCTTATTTGTTATTTGGATTCACGAGCCGCCATCTTAATTAATTTTGGATAAATATATTGTTGATGTAACGCGTGAATAGAGTAGGAGGAGAAGCAGAATGGAATTTGAAATGTGCAATCATGACTCAGTTACGTGGCGTACAGTCTTTCTAATTGTAATGGGATTGCAAAGTTGCTACCATGTAACAATATTGTTCCACTTGGTCTCCGGCGAGATCCAATGCACCCAATAATGTTGAGAAATAATTTCCGCAGACAATAACGAATAAAATCTTTTTCTTATAAATCATCAAGAGTAACTCAGTTGCCAATGAGTTTCTAAAAATTTATTTGAGATAAAGATTCAAATCATATCTCAAGCAAAATTAAAAAAAAAAAATTGGGAGCCACTGAATGTGTCTCTTTCCTCGAAAGAAATATTAGTCCTATATTTTCTCGGATAGTGAACACAATTCAAAAAGTATATAGATTAAAGAGTAAATATTATTTTTGATCATCAGGAAATTTTACGATGTCCGCTTTAGTCTTTAGCAAATAAAAAAGCCCATCAAGGTCTTTAAAAAATTCAAAATAGACCTATTTAGTTGAAATCGTGGTCCCTCACAAATTCAAAAAAGATCCGTATTAGTCTCTCAAAAAAATTAAAATGGGTTCATTTTGAATTTTTTAAGAACCACGATGAGCCTTTTTATTTGCTAGGGACTAAAGCGTGAATCGTGAAATTTATTGAGGACTAAAAAGAATATTTATTCCTGATTAAATTATAGGCCCAAAATTCAAACACGGATAGGCCCAAAAGTCAAAACCCCTTTTGTCGATTAAATTCACCACTGACCAACACAATCTCGTTACGACCGGACAAGACAAAAACACTAAAATTATGGCACCCCTCATCAAAGTGGCTGCGCTTTCTGGTTCCCTCCGAAAAGCTTCATACCACTCAGGCCTTATACGTGCTGGTACTCTCTCTCTCTGTTAGTGTTGTTTTCTGCAAAAGTATTTATGAAGTTGTGGTGGTAATGGATTTACATTCTCTAACGGGCAAAAATAGATATTATTTAAAAATTATATATATTTTTTTCACTTATGTCATGATGACACGTTACCAGTTTTGTGTGGCACATATACAAATTTTTTTTGCTTAAGACAGGATTTAAACTCTTAATCCAAACAAATTCTTGTAAGCTCCGTTGACAAGTGATCTACTTTTTGAAACGAGTGAGCCACAGTTTGTTGTTTTTGTGGTTGACAAAATTATCTGCCATTGCGGCAGATCCGAGGGACCCTTTGTTTATTATTGTGATTTTGATTTTGATTGGTGGTGATGGTTGCAGCAATTGAGCTGAGCAAGGGAGCAATTGAAGGCATTGAAATTAATTTCATTGACATTTCGGACCTGCCCATGTTGAACACTGATCTTGAGAACCAGGGAACACCTTACCCACCTCGAGTTGAAGCTTTTCGTCAAGAGATTCTTCAAGCTGATAGTGTTCTCTTCGCTTCTCCAGAGTATAATTACTCTGTCACCGGTACCATTTTCTCTAAAACTTCATCTGGGGTCTTGTGTTTGTTTTTCAGTCACTGGTTCTCATGCACCCAAAATCAAATATAAAACAAAAAATTCAATGGGTCATTTCATTTTGTTATGTGCTGCTATGGCGATTTGGATTGCTTTTAATGTAAGCTGAAATGGGTTGGTTCTATTTTGTCTTGAGTTGAACATGTTCTGGCTGAATTCAAGCGTTATTTGGTTTAAAATTGCTACATTTCACAAAGCTCTTTAGAATAGGATAGTGTACCCATGGTTCCGAGGGAGTTTTGGTGGAGTTGTGTGGTTAGAGTTAAAACAGATGTTTCATGTTCCAAATAAATCAAAATAGATGTTACAATTTAATCTAAGAAAAAAAAAATACTGCACATATTTCTTACATTTTTATTTATTTCTTATTTCTCCTACATTTGTACCACCTAATGCATTTTTAAGGAAAAGTTATAGCGTGATAACTATCGAATGAACTCTCAGATGAGTGGCTTTTTCACCAATGCAATGCAGAAAATCAAACATATCATTAGTTTAATTTTTTTGACAAACTATTAATCAATCTAATAGGAATGAAATGCGCACGGAGAGTGTGCATTCAAATCGTGCATCATCCTATGTACAACTTGTGCAAAAGTCAAAATTCGTGCACCACTTGAACGCACACTGATATGCATCTTGCATTACGCAAACTTTTGCACAAGTCACGCATTGTGGTAATGCACGACTTAAATAATCAAGAGAGTTTAGTTTGCATAAATAATTTGAGATAACAATTATCAGGCCATCTATTTTCTTGGAAACTATACATCAGAACAGAGAGCTCTGTTTTTGCATACTACTTGATGCTTACTTTATTTTTATTTTGGTTTGTCCTTAACTGAGATACTGAGTCTCACTTTATTCTTTAATTGATAAAGTAAGTTAGATTACTATACAAATTAGCATCATACACATGTTTAGACCACTAATCAATCATAAAAATACAAGCTTTATGCTAACTTATGTTTTATTTTGTTCTAGCACCACTAAAGAATGCAATTGACTGGGCATCAAGACCGCCAAATGTTTGGGCTGGCAAAGCTGCTGCAATTGTAAGCGCCGGAGGAAACTTTGGTGGTGGAAGGTCACAGTATCATCTTCGCCAAATCGGAGTGTATATTGATCTTCATTTCATCAATAAACCTGAGTTCTTCCTGTTTGCATTCCAGCCCCCTCCTAAGTTTAACAGTGATGGGGACTTAATTGATGAAGAATCCAAGAACAAGTTAAAGCAAGTTCTTCTATCCTTGCAGGCATTTACCCTGCGACTTCAAGGCATAAGCAGTGCCTGAAACTTTAATTCCCAGAAATTTTTGAAATAAGGTGTGGATTCTAGAAATACCAATTTGATTCCGAATGTGCATGACAGCATTGCATGTTTTCAACAATTGTATGAAGCTTGAAAATTTATTAGTTCTCTAATTATATTTGGAATAATGATTTATATTGCTCTCATCATGTTTGGTTTTCTGTTTTACTAGCTATGAGTACAATCTACAAAGTTTCTGTTCATGGATGTTGAAATTTGATTCCATATATATATATATATATATATATATATATATATATATATATATATATATATCACTCCCCATTGTATAATAGCAGTAAATTATTCACATTGATCTTGTTTTGTCAGAACTTTCTAATCTTGACACAGTAGGTTTTTCATGGTATCATGAGATAACCTATATTAACCAAAATCAATTGTGAAGATGCTAAAAGCACTAACACAATTTACCTACTACTACTACTAATCAATTTGGCGTCCCTTTATAATATATGTTTAACCGAGTAGGTGCCAGATTTGGTATCATGCCTAATCATCAATGTGCTATTCACATTGCTAGAGATCAACCGAATGGAAAGGAATCGCACCATTCTTGTGATCAAATAGAACTCTAATTTTGCCAACGTCCCACCATTTTGGCTTCTCTAAGGTATGTAATCGAGATTTTATATGAAATCGGAAGAGAAATAAAAAATCATAAAACGTAAAATCGTAGTAATAAATCGAGATTTTAATTACCATTGGCTTCTCTCAACAACTAACTAGCCAACTGATAAATGTTTTTTACCAAGATCTAATTCAAAGTTCTATCCATGGTGTTGTTTTGAAAACAATTTTCAAGTGCAGTGTTGTTTTGAAAACATCCTACCAACCAGAACCATATTGCTTTTCCATACACAAGAGCTATTGCCTAAGCTTTGACGACCAAGGATCACAGAAGAAGGGAAATACACACTCTTCAACACTTTGCCTCAAAGAATCTTGTTCAACAAATAGCCTCCAAGCTTATTTCACGTAAGAGCTTGATTCATCATATAAGTTTCTATTCCCATGTCCCCTATCCCTTCTTGTATTTTGCAAGTCCTAGATTCAGGAGTATCCATTATAAGTTGTAAATTTTTTCCCAACAAGCCCACTAAATATTGGACCCCTATTATTTGGTCTCTATCTATTTGGGTCTTGAGCCCTATGTGCATTCCTTGTTTGGTATATGAAGTCTCATTACATGACCAAAATGAAAAACCAATTGTCTTCATTTCTTCTTGTAGATAATAATTTTGATCATCTAATAACTTTTGCAAATTCTCTACTCGATAAGCTATCATGCACTCTTTATACACTTGCCAAGAAAATCATGGATGAACAACAGGAATTTCACCTTTTCTTCCTTTGATGAATAGCCCTTGTTTTGGTTGGTGATATTTTCGCATAAGTAACTAGGCCCCAAATTATTCTTTTATTTGTCAATTAAGTAACGTGGAAGTTAATAATCAAAAGAAATTTTTTAGATGAGTGCTTAATAAAAAAAAAAGTTAAGCCATATATCAAAAAAGTAATGTTGAGTAAGACTCCTTAAATGACAATTAAAAAGGATATTTTTTAACATGTGATATTTACAAACTTTTTGTTTACAAATTACACTATGTCTAACCGGTAATACACTCTTGAGTAGAGTATTACCGGTCAAACATAATGTAGTTTGTAAAAGAAAAAATTTGTCAATATAACCCTACTTGTATTTTAATATTATATTTTTTACATTAAAATAGTTCAAAAGTTTTTATTTATTGTGAAAATATTGATAAAAAAATCTTATTTAAGTTAAAGGACTAAAATAATTTTTCGAAAATATTGCAATTGTCTACTTTTATTATTATTATTATTATACTCTCTTGTAAAGTGTCCCATGGCTTCAGATTTGGAACTAATCCCCATGCCAACCACACCTCATTGAAGCGTTTAGCCGTTTACATTCCTTTATGGAATAAGGATGTGTGACCAATCAAAACTTGTCATCAAAGACATTTATAGTGAATTATTCTGTGCTTAAACAAGGTTTAATAAATTAAGTCAACTGAAAGTAAACCGCAATTAATCTCTTCTTATTTGCAAATTAAATGATTCCTATTGCAATAAGATTAAGTCGAATAATTAATAAATTGATGAGAAATAAAAGAAACTAACAATTAGTTAATAAATAAGAAAAACGATGTACTCATATCAAATCTAGCAATTGGAATTTTGGGGTTAAAAATCAGAAGTTGTTTACACAATATTTGTTGTTTAGAAGGGAATCGTAGTCAAACCGTATGTTATTATATGGAAAAAGTGTGTGTGATTTTAAAGAATGTAAAGTTGTGTCATTTTTTTTTAGTAATCTCAAGGATATCCTCCAACAGTAACCGAAGACTAAGTCTCTCTCGAGCACAATCGAACTCTTTCGGAACGGCTCTCCCAAATCCTTAAAAGGATCCGACAAAGAGAAAGAGATAAATTATGAAAAAAAAAGAGTGAACAAAAAAAAAATGTGGACCTCACCTCTTTATGAGAATAAAATTACATAACTTATATCATTTAAAAGAACAAATATTTTCTCCTTATTATATTGTCTATAATCTGCAATTCTCAACATATCACTCACACGTGCTTTTACTATAACAAAAATTTCAGTTCAAACTTGCATTTGACCAAATCTAAAGTGTTTTTTTTTTTTTTTTGGGTGAATAATTTAAAGTTATCAATAGATCATATCTTATGTTACTTCGCTAGGCTCGCCGGATAAATCCTAAATCTTACTAAAATAAGTATTAAAAAAAAAAATTAATCACAATCTTGCAAGTTTCGCCTGTTAAAAGAACTTCAACTTGTTATCAAAAAAAAAAAAAAAAAGAACTTCAACTTATCAGTTGATTAAAGTAAAAATTATTTTTTATTTAATAGTTGAGACTTTGTAACTATTTTTATTTTTTTTTGTTAAAAAGGAGTCATCTTGGTATGGAAACAAAAAAAGGTTAAATTACTTTTTAATTTAATTTTAAAAAATGCTTTTACAATTTACCTAAATTTTAATTACGACCTTACTAAAATTTTATGATTAAGTCTTTAAAACTCATAATAATAATTAAGAATAACTTGCAGATAATTGTGAACATTCACTAATGAAGTCAAATAATCATTAACTAAACACTTATAGGGCCCTATTTAAAAAATATTAGAAGCATAAGGACCATGTCAAAAGCCTAAACTAAAAAATCAATTTAAAAATTTAACGAAAACATAAGGACATAGTATATCGATGATTCCCGGATAAAAAAAAATTATCCTCTACCAAATGTCTCCTTAATGTAATTTAACCAAAAGTATATTGATGCCAAAAAAAGAACATATAACTAGTATTGTTTGCCTCGTTATTGTTAGGGGTGCTAAATGAACCAAGAGCCTTTGGCCCGACTCGTGAAAACCTGAACTTATTTGTCTAAAATTGGTTTTTAGAACCAGGCTTGGACTTGTATAAATGTTCGTTTAATAAAAAAATCCCAGACTCCAATTCAAAAGTCCGACCTTAGAGTCTCTCAGGTAAGCTAGTATACTAACTTTATTTTATATTTTATATTTTTTATACTACTCATAATAGTTCTTTCTCTCTCCTCAACCCTTTTCACCTTATTTTATTTGTTATATGGACTTTTCGAAGGATTTTATTCTATATTATATTGTTTGGATATATATTAAATTTATGAATTTTTGTGAAATTATTAATACTATTGATCGTATATTTTGTTTGGATAATTTTTTTTTTTTTTTTAATAACAGGCTAAACCAGACTTTTATTTTTTATAAATAAGTCAGACTATAGGCCGATAATTATATTCATAACAGATAACAGACTAGATCAGACTGACATATTTAAACACAGACTTAATCTTTTAAGATTAAAGTTTGGTAGGCTCGTCCCGTTAATATCCCTAATTATTGTATTTATAATTATGTATACAATTATAGATATAGTATACTTTTTTTCATAATTGTGGTCAAGGGTCTAATTAAAATTCTTTTTTTGTACAAATATTTTTACACTTCATTAATGGTACGCAATTGAAACACATTACTGAAATAGTTTGATATACTATTTAATTGTTGTTATAATTAATTTTTATTGACAACTTATTTTTAAATAATAAAGTAAAAAAATTATTATCCGTGAAATTACTCCAGAATAAAAAAGTGTAAACAAATAAATTTTAATCTCAAAATACAACACGAACTTTTTTAAGGAAGACATCTCCCACAGTAAACTTTTGTAATGATCTCCAAAAAAGACCAATCTTGAAGCAAAATTAAAGTTGGATATGGCAAAGTCCAAAAACAATAAATAGCCTCCACAGGTACCAATAAAAACAGTACCAAATTACACATAAGGTGCATAGTAATACTACCCCACACACCCTATATAGCTTAGCCATTCTTGACCAAAATCAGCATACATCATGTTACTTTTTATATTCTCAATTATCATCATGTCGTTATTCAGCTGTACCTTAGATTCCACTCAACCCTTCTCTTTTTTTTTCTCTTTTTTTTCAGGAATGGATCCTCTCAAGTGAAAAAGTGGTTATATGGTCATGTTATTTGATCACAATCACTCATTGATGATGAGATAAGAAAGAGAAAAATGTATAATATTTAAATGAATGATTGTGATCAAATAACATGACCACACGATCGCTTTTTCATTCCTTTTTCTTTCAATAGTGATTGATTCTCGTGACGTTATTGGACACTGTCTATGTCTGTGCCTGCATGTCTGCCACTGCCCCGCCACCCTATACCTCTGCCGTCTGCGGCTGTCAACGGCTGGTTGGAGTTGGTAACTGTGACTTTGTCATACCACAATGAATTATTGCCACCCCAGATTCTGCTGGTTTCGGATCATTATTCAATTCAATTAAAATCTGAATGCAGAGTGGCAAAAGTTGAATAAAAATCAAGGCATAGTAAAAGAAAGAAGTGAACAAGTTTCCAAATTTGTTGGAACTTGTCAGCAATCATCACAACTTTATAATTGACACCTAGCTTTCATTCCTTATTATCCCCAAAACTTTTACTCCTTATGTCATTAAATTTCGCTCATGTTTTCATTCTCTTTTGCTCGAACAAAAACCAGCAATGAAACACCCTTTCCATTCTCTTT